ATTAATAATCAGCAGACTTCTTGGTAAATATAGATTCAGGGCAGAGAGAATTAGGTTGTTGTTGATAAACACTTTCACAAAAGCTGTAGAGGCCTAATGAGTTACTCTTCTTCCCACAGGGATCTATTTCCAAGCTGCTGTGAAGGAGGCCTTGTATCCTTAATAGTGCTGGAGACAAATGTAACAGCATCTTCAACTTGTCTTTTCCTTGGTTATGGATGTGTCTGGACCTTATGTTTGATCAGAATCCTTCTATTGGCCCTTGCCATTACATTACTCTTCTTCATTCCAGTCATCATTCATCTATTAAGAGTAGGAGTATTACGAAGTAGCAGTTATAATAATAATAAGAGCAGCTAACACATACTGAGCCTTTACTACATGAGAGACACTGTTCTAAGAACCTCATTACATGTCTAAACTCGCTTAATCCCTATAATATCTCTATAGTATAGGTGCTATTATTACATGGAGTCCCAAGGTGGTACAAATAGGTAGGGTGCTGAGCTGATAACCAAAAGGTAGGAGGTTTAAATCCACCTAGGAGCACCTTGGAAGAAAGGCCTGGCAATCTACTTCCAAAAAATCAGCCATTAAAAACTCTATGGAGCACCAAACTTCTAGGCTGAGAGAGCTATGGGGACCATGGTCTCGAGGGAACATCTAGCTCAACTGGTGTAACATAGTTTATAAAGAAAATGTTCTATATTCTACCTTGGTGAGTAGTGTCTGGGGCCTCAAAAGCCTGTGAGTGACCATCTAAGATACTCCACTGGTCTCACCCCTTTGGGAGCAAGAGACAATGAAGAAAACAAGTTACAAAGGAAAGATTAGTCCAAGGACTAATGGACGACAGCTACCATGGCCTCCGCCACACTGAGTCCAGTACAACTAGATGGTGCCTGGCTACCACCACTGACTGCTCTGTCAGGGATCACAACAGAGGGTCCCGGACAGAGCTGGAGAAAAATACAGAACAAAATTCTAGCTCACAAAAAAAAGACCAGAGTTACTGGCCTGACAGAGACTGGAGAAACCCCGAGTCTGGCCCCTGGACACCCTTTTAGCTCAGTAATGAAGTCATTCCTGAGGTTCACCTTTCAGCCAAAGATTAGACAGCCCCATAAGACAAAATGAGCCTAAAAGGGCACAACAACCCAGGGACAAGGACCAAAAGGCAGGAGAGGGCAGGAAAGCTGGTAATAGGGAGCCCAAAGTAGAGAAGGGAGAGTGTTGACGTGTTGTTAACCATTGTCATAGAACAATATGTGTACTAACTGTTTGATGAGAAACTAGTTTGTTCTGTAAACCTTCATCTAAAGTACAATTTAAAAAAAAAAAAGAAAAAATAAATACTCTATGGAGCCCCGACGCACATGGGGTCAACCATGTGTCAGAATCATCTCGGTAGCAAGCTTTTTTTTTTTTTCAATTGCCGCTTCCTTTTCACGTGTGAAGAAATTGAGACGTGAAGACAGAGAGGAATAGGAATCTGTTTCCATCCTTCTGGAAGTTCACAGTGGAGAAGAGAGATTTGTACATAAATGATCACCTCAATATCTGGGGTCTTGTAGAGGGATATATAAGATGTCAGGAGGGCAGACAGCATTCAGGAAAGGCTTCAAAGAGAAAGTAGGCTTAAAAAATAACTAAAATTTGCCAGATGGCCAAGGGAAAAAGGTGTCTGAAGCAAATATACAGGGACATGAAGACATGAGATAGTGAGGGTGGTATTTACTGAAAACTGCAAGTGGTTCAGGATGATTGGAGATGGGGATATGATTGGATGGGTAGAGGAGGTAAGTCCCAAAAGATAGGCAGAGAATCTAAAATAACTTTCTGTAGAAATCATTTCTGTGAGGACATCAAACTGTATGTCTTTTATGTTAACCCCAGAGGTAGGAACAGGTACCTTCTCCTGAAGGACCTATGTCACTGGCCACAGAGAGAAGAAAAAGGGGCAACTTCCTCCAGGAACCCAAGGTGAGGGGAGCACATGGAAAGAGCTTATTGAAGGACAGTAGCTGGACCAGGAGTGGTGGCTGATATGGTATGCGTCAACCTAAAGAACCATAAATACAAAGGTCAGGGCCAATCAAACTAATAGGAACAGAAGCCAGATTGAACTGAGAAGGAACTGGTTAGTGTTATACTTAAAAACCTTGGCCATCAAGATATCTGAATATTATAAGATGTGTATACCCTTTGACCCAACAATTCATCTTCAAGGTTTTTTTTTTTACCTTAAAAAAAAAAAAAGAATTAAGAATGTGTGTACAGTTTTAACTGAAAAGATGTTCATCACAATGTCTGTGATGAAAGATTAGGGGAAAAATGTCTAATCATAAAGGATTGTTTAAATAAATTATATAGGCACCTGGGTAGCACAAATGGTTTCTGCTCGACTGCGAACCTAAAGGTTGGTGGTTTGAACTCACCCATTGTTGCTGTGAAAGAAAGGCCTGCTGATCTGCTTCCATAAATATTACATCTAAGAAAACCCTATGGAGCAATTCTACTCTGTAACACATGGGGTGGCCATTAGTTGGAATCCACTCAACAGCAACAGGGTTTTTTTGGTTTAAATAAATTATGGAAAATCCATACAATGCAATATAGGGCAGCCAAACATGATGGAAGCCTATTCTGTGGACAGGAAAAGATGTGCACTAGAAAGTTATTAGTGAAAAAGTAGATACTTGCATAGTCGGTATAATTTATTCCTATGCCTCTGTCCTTGAAATTTTCTACACAGAGAAAAATAAGTTTGGAAGGATAACCAAAGTGTTCAGAGTGGTTGTCTCTCAATAGTGAGATTATGGTTGATGCTTACCTTCTTGTTTTTGCTTGTTTGTGTTTATTAATTGTTTTTAACATTGAACATGTATGATGTGTATAATGTCTGATCTCTCTGTAACAAAGTGTATGTGTCATCAAATACAATGACTGCAGATGGTGTGAGATTAGAGTCTAATTTTTTTTTTTAAACTGTGCTTTAGGTGAAAGTTTACAGCTCAAGTTAATTTCTCATACAAAAATTTATACACATATTGTTAGGTGACACTAATTGCAATCCCTATAATGTGACAGCCCACTCCCCCTTTCCACCCTGGGCTTCCCGTGTCCCTCCAACCAGCTCCTGTCCCTTCCTGCATTCTCATTCTGCCTCTGGACAAGAGCTGCCCATTTGGTCTCGTGTATCTGCTTAAACTAAGAAGCACACTCTTCACGAGTATTATTTTATGTTCTATAGTCCATTGTCATCTTTGTCTGAAGAGTGGGCTTCAGGAATGGTTTTAGTTCTGGGTCAACAGAGCATCCAGGGGTCATGGCTTCGGGGGTTCCTCCAGTGTCAGTCAGACCATTAAGTCTGATGTTTTTAGGTAGATTTGAGTTCTGCTCCACACTTTTCTCCTGCTCCATCAGGGACTCTCTGTTGTCTTGCTTGTCAGGGAGGTCACTGGTGGTAGCCAGACACCATCTAGTTCTTCTTGTCTCAGGCTGATGGAGTCTCTGGTTTATGTGGCCCCTTTGTTTTGGGCTAATATTTTCCTTGTGTCTTTGGTGTTCTTCATTCTCCTTTGCTCCAAGTGAGTTGGGACCAACTGATGCATCTTAGATGCCTACTTGCAAGCTTTTAAGACCCCAGACGCCACTCACCAAAGCGGGATGCAGAACATTTTCTTAATAAACTTTGTTATGCCAATTGACCTAGATGTCCCCCAAAACCATGGTCCCCAGGCCCCAGCCCCTACTACTCTGTCCCTTGAAGTGTTTGGTTGTGTTCAGGAAACTTCTTAGCTTTGGTTTAGTCCAGTCGTGCTGACTTCCCCTGTATTGTGTGTTGTCCTTCCCTTCACGTAAGATGATTCTTGTCTACTATCTAGTTAGTGAATTCTCCTCTCTCTCCTTCCCCACCGTCGTAACCGTCAAAGAATGTTTTCTTCTGTGTTTAATCTTGACTGACTGAATAACCTGAAAAGATACTTGCGATTTACCTCAGTAGAACGTACAGTCACATGCCCTCAAATTGTTTTAAAACGTGATAGAACCTAGAACTCCACCTAGGCTGTGGGTGCTTAAGGGCTGTACACAAGAAGAAAAGAATAAAGGTCTTTAATAACAGAAATCACTTCTTTATCACTGTATTGTGAGAGCCAGGAGAGAAACTGAGACCCATCTGGAAAGGAAGACAGCTTCTGGCCCCAGGTTTCAGAACTATAATTGAATCAGTGTCCTGAAGAGGACTGTTATGAGTTGGGATGGGGTGAGGGGGCCATCTCTCTCTGAAAGCTTACCTTAAAAATTTCCCAATGTACCTTTTCACCCAGCAATTCTATTCCCAGGAAACGTTTCTATAGATAAGCCCACACATGCACAGAATGTCTGTCCAATGGTGTTTCGTGCATTGTTTGCAAGAAAAGAGTTTTAAAATATCACTATGTCCCTTTTAGAGAAAAGGTTAGATGTATTATATTACAGCAACACTGTGGAATACTATGCAGCTACTAAAAATTACTTACTAACATGGTAAAATCCCCCAAGCACACTATTAAGTTTCAATAAATGCTAATTAGTGCAACACATCCCATTTGAGACAAAAATATATTTGTATATATTTATGTTTTTATAGAGGACCTTGCACTTTACTTTGTATTTTGATATTGCTGGAATTTTTTTATACTTGGCATGCACTTGTGTTTTTTTAAAACATACAAAACTCAAATAAATAATTCTAAGAATATATGCAGTATCATGCAAAATCTGAAGTTTCTAGCATATTCAAAATAATAATTACTACATTGTAGAACTGTCGTAAATATTCAGTGGGATTATGTTCCTGTTGGATAAATTAGGTACCCACAAAAACTTAATGTTTTTAATCAGAGGATTTGTCCTTTGTTTTGAAGAAATGTAACATCTTTCATTATGAAGAAATGTAATGGTTTTAATTGTGGATAATGGATAAGCAGCAACCATATGTTTGCTTTTATTTCCAGGAAACGTTGGATGCCACTTTCTCGTCTGGGGACTTATAGCCTTCTTGGGTTTGGCTCTGGTTATATCGCTCATCTTCAATATATCTCATTATGTGGAAAAGCAGCGGCAAGGTGAGACATTGTAACAAGTAACCATATAGTACCTGCTTGAATTGAAACTTGTGGAGTCACTGGAAAACCTACAGAAGACAATTTTATGAAATGTTGTCCAATAGAATATTTTTATCTGTAGGAAATCTATTTAATAAATTTTCACCCTGAGGGTTTTCTTAAATTAAGAATGCAATCATATCAGAAATATTTTCAAACTCCCAAACTTAACTTTATCAACTAGTTGACCCTTCACCTGCGTTAGGGTATAAAGTTGGAAGGAATTTCCCTGGGTTAAACAGATATTTTTCCTCCTCCAATTCAACAACCCATGGATATTGCATTCTGTTGTGGAGCATTCATAAAGGTTCTGTCCTATGCATGATAAGAAAAGTGAAAACTAGCTCTTTAAGTTTTGCCTCAAGCCTACTCTAACTTCTCAGCATCAGTCAGGGCCTCTATAGTGCTGCAGGCTGGAGTGGACTAGAAAAGCAATAGACTGAACTGTGGGGTTTGTTATCAAATACTTCCATAGTCTAGGAGGGCAGATCAAGAGAAACTGTCATTGTAGGCTTTTCTTTTCAATAGACTGGGCAGAGTTTTAATCATCTGGCTTTCATCTAAGACGCGTGGTTGAAACAGTGCAATGCCCAGCCACTGGTACAAACTTTCTGTGCTGAAGGCATTCACTACACACATGTCAGATGTATGGGTGGATGGATGGATGGAGGAATGAAGGTTCAAATATTTCTGGGTGGTGTTTTAGTATTATAGAACCATGACACTACTAGGGACAGGGCATTTAAGTAGTGATAAAGCAACAGGAAAGAAGATGTAAATGCATTTTCTTTTAGCAGATGAAAACAAATAAAGCTAATTCAACACGTGTACAAGAAAAATTGCAAAAAACTAATTTAGAACAATTGCCATATTCCCAGGGGTGTCCTTGATCATCTGAGGAGTGTTTTCTTAAGGGAGGATAATGCTAATGTAAAATATGAAAAGGAAAGCATTACTGTTATGCAGGCTATTAAGAAAAAAAAAAAGGAGGTCTGGAAAATGAAGTGGCATGGCTGAAGTCACATATCTATTCAAAAGTAAAATCAAGGATAAGTGCCTTGTTTGTCTAATTCTCTGACAGAATAGTTTCCAGTAGCACGTGCTACTGTTACATTGCTGACCAAATGGTCTCAGCCAGAAATAGAGATCCTTTAGGGTCTCTGTTATATCAATTCTATGCCTAAAGTGACATTCCAGTCACGCAACACTTTTTTGTTAAGAATGATTTCAGTCACTATTTTAAAGATCAAGTATTTTTAACTGTTTAGTTACTATTGGTTTAATGGTATACCAGCCACTTTTTATGCCTCTGGACCTCTTAGGTAGTAGTTATTCTGACTCTAATGCATTTAGTGTCAAGGTGGGTCCCTTTTAAAAGGCATGAAGCTCAGCAGACCAGAGTTAGAGCCTCATTGTTGTGTAAGTTGAGCATTCCATTAGTAATGCTTCCTGGATGTTAATTTTGTAAACTTTTGTCTTTATTTCTTTATTTCTGTGAGATAAGGCTTGCAAGCAGAAGTATGGCTTTCCTGTGTGATAGCTAGGGAGCCCTGTTGGGTTTGTTGTGGTTTTTCTGTGTTGTATTTGGAAAACCAGAGGTTCTTCATGTAACCTAATTGAAAAGCACCTGCAATGAATTCTCTGTTTAGTTCTTATTGGTATATTGGCATACCACAAGTTGGTGGCACCAGAGTGCCACTTGCCTTATTGTTGGCTTGTATACCAGATCATATTTCTCAAAATTCATAGTACCAATCAAAAATTTAAACACACTCAATACTGAAAACACATGCCATCAAAAAATTAAAAGATAAAAATAAAAAAATGGTAACAAAGGGGTTTTAAATACCTAAATATAATAAACTGTGTAAGTCAGATGTATAAATGACCCATCATCAGACATCTATAAAGTTTCCTTTGTTTATAAAAAAAAAACTGAGCTAAGAGTAGCTCTTTTCTTTATGCAATAGCTTATAATGAATATATTTTAATTTCTTCACTAAAATATTTTCACTTAGATTAAAAGAGGTGAATTGAAACCTAGAGAGGTGAAATAATTTAAGGTGGAAACCAAAATAAGAACAATCTTCTGTACACGAGCCCACTCTTCCATTAATTCCAATGGTAATCCTTTCAAGACTTTTTCAGGGCCAGATAATAAGGGGTTTGACATGTTTAACTTGAGTCCAAGAGTCCATCAAATTGTATTTGGCAAATTTGACATATTTACTTCAAACCTAAATAGTCATTTCTTTTCAGTCTTATGATTGCATTGAACTGTGGTGAATATGAATTCTAGAACTTATTTCTCTCACCATGTTCAGGAACTGGACTGGTCTAATTTTACTGACCTATTACTCCTGCCGCAGATATGCTTGACTGTACTAGTATTTCACACTCAATATGAATAGGTTTTCCAATTCTCATTTTGGTAATTTGTACATTAGAATTTATTTAGCCATATCCATAGCATCCATATCACCACACAAACTCCCTTGGAGAGTTGTTTGCTTATAATGCTAAGCTGATCACTGCTATAAGACAGTAGCTTAACTAAAAAGAAAGCTGTATCTTTTCTTTTTGTTCCGAACAGATTTCTCTTTTTCTTTTCAATTATATAACCCCTTTACTGCCTCAGGCATGCTAGAAATTGCTCTATTGCCTGAAGACAGTGTAGTGGGAAAGAATATTTTTGACCAACAGGAAATAGTTAATTAAAATTATTGATGTATTTTTTAAAAAGTCAATTTCAGTTCTTCAATTATTTTTAACAGCGTGTCTTTTGATGTCAACTTGATGTGACGAGAACTCTGCTTTCAGTATTTGGCTGGGAGAACTTGTATAAGTAACAACTTCTCAGAGTCTCAGTTTGCTCATCTGTAGATTGTGGAAAATACTATTTATATCATACAGTTCTTGTGAGAATTGTATAAATACCTTAGCACCATGCTGGGGACTTAGGAGGTCAGCTCTGGGCCTAGTACAACCCACATCACTGTAACTGATGGCCCATGCTTCCTTCCATCTTTCCACGAACATTTATTAAGGACCTACTAGTGTTAGAGTAGGTCTTTAATAAATATTTGTAGAAAGAGTCGTGGTGGCGCAGTGGTTAAGAGCTCCATTGCTAATCAAAAAGTCAGCAGTTCAAATCCACCAGCCGCTCCTCCAAAACCCTATGGGGGCAGTTCTAATCTGTCCTATAGGGTCGCTATGAGTTGGAATCGACTCAGTGGCAACGGGTTTGGTTTTTATTGTCACATTATCTTAATTGTAATGACTGTTATTTCAATGAACTGTAGTTTCTCTGGCATCCTCACCTCTCCCACCATTCTCCAACCCTCCAGGCCTCTCCATCTCCCACCTTACCTCCTCCTCCCACCCCCATTTCTATTTTACTATTTTTTTCAGTTTTATTTATTTTGTTGTTATTGTTGAGAATGTAAACAGCAAAATATACACCAATTCAACAGTTTCTACATGTACAATTTAATGACATTAGTTACATTTCTCCCACTCTATTTAGGGCCTTCAGTTGTGAACCCTGTCAGAGTGGCTGGTTGTGGCAGCTGGGCACCATCTAGTTCTTCTGGGCTCAGTCTGTGGTACCTGTGATCCATTAGTCCTTTGGGCTAATATTTCCCTTGTGTCTTTGGTTTTCTTCATTCTCCTTTGTGAGATGTTTTGTGGATTCATTATCATTGTGTAGTATTCCTAGGAATATATCCTAGAGAAATAAAAGCCATCACATAAATAGACACATGCACACAATAGCAAAAAGATGGAAAACCTAAGTGCCTATCAACAGGTGAATGGATAAACAAATTATGGTATATACACACAATGGAATACTATGCAACAATAAAGAGCAATGATGAATCTGTGAAATATCTCACAACATAGATAAATCTGGAAGGCATTAATATTTGGTAAGATTTCAAGGGATATTTTTGGTTCTAGGTTTAAAGATTATCTCAGGGCGGTAGTTTTACAGGTTTATCCAGCCCCCATCATCTCTATTTTATTTAACAGCTTTGTCCAAGAACTTGAGTTTAATAACTGCTGTTTTCATTTAAATCATATTTGGGTACGTTTCAGAGAGTTTCTGTAGGCTTTCATGGAATTGGTTGTAAACATTAGTCTATTACAAATCATTTTATTTGAGCAGTAATATGTCCTCCTTGAGTGGAGCACACAACACCTGGGTCTTACACTTTATCAGACTCTGGGTGGTGTAAATGGTTAAGCACTCAACTACTAGATAAAAGGTTGGCAGTTTGAACACGTCCACAGGCATCTTGGAAGACAGGCCTGGTGATTTTCTTCTGAAAAGTCACGGCTTTGAAAACCCTGTGGAGCAATTCTACTCTCCACACATGGAGTCGCTGGGAGTCAGATTCAGCTTGACAGCAACCAACAGCAAGAACCACCTTAGCTTAGCCTTGGAGCAGCGTTCTTGGATACTATCATAATGCCCTTGAGTCTCATCCCACCCCACTTCTCTCTGCTGCCCCTCCCCAACCACCCCAATTTCTTCCAACAGCTTTTTCCAAGTATTAGTAATAACTGACAGCTTTTCCATTCCATATGAGCAAACAACAGCATCTTTCTTTCTCACCCAGAGGTATCAGGTGGATTCGGGATTATCTCTGCAAACTGTTTAACTCCTTTACAGTTCTCCCAAAGACTCCTCCTTGCCTTGTTTCTTCTGGACAGACTAGAAGAGATCCCATCACATTAAGCAGCTTTTCTGCTGCTTGGGCTGTAAATGCAATGCCCCTGTATCTGGCCTCAAGTAGCTTTTTATTTTTGCATCTTTGTGCTACTCTTTGTGGCTAAGAAACTTGCAAAATATACTCTGCTTTAGTAACAGTGAATAAATTTTGCTAGTGCATTAAATAGCTAACAAAAGGAAATCTCCATCCCAGCAACAGTACAGTATCTACAGATTCAATCAGATA